TTGCCCGTATGTGGTGGGAGCACCATGTAAGCAATGTGGAAGTTAGACAGCGTGTCTTGGGACGTGGAAGCCACTCCTCGAGGAGCTCGTCTCACTGCATCAACTGCAGTGGTTGGGACACGTACCGCGCATGCCTGTCTAGCGTTACCCCCGTCGTGCGTTGTTTGCACTTGCTGGACAGGGCGGGAAGAGACGGTCTGGTGGACAGCCTACAACGTGGAGAAGCCGCATGAAAAAGCTGACGAAACAGTTGGCCCCGGCCGGTTGTTGTCGACTACCTGGTTGGGGTCCGAGAGATGAGGATACTTGCTGGTTGAAGACCTTGGAAGCCATGGCTCAAGATCGATGCCAACGTGTACATCAGTTTGTTGCAGTGTCCCTTCTTCCTCCCGCTAAAAAAGAACAAACTGAAAAAAATTTCAAAAACTGTGAGTGGTAAAATAGACAATAAAAGCAATTGTTGTTGCTCTTTCCTTATTATTCATATTGTTTTCCTATTCAGCCATGATTCCGATGGCACAATATCTGTACCACAGATTGTTATATATATATATATATATATATATATATATATATATATATATATATATATATATATATATATATATATATATATATATATATATAGTGTACAAATCCATGGTGCTGTCCGTTCTTCTATACGGCAGTGAAATCTGGACGATGTACCGGCGGGGTGTGCGATATCTCGAGCGGTTCCATCAGCAGTGTCTGCGACGGATTTTGCGCATCGGCTGGGGCGACAGAGTTGCAGACCCGGAGGTGTTGCGCCGAAGTGGGATGTATGCAGTGGACCGTATACTTTTATTGAGACACCTGAGGTGGCTCGGTCATGTGAGCCGTATGGATTCGACGCGGATACCGAAGCAGCTATTATATGGTCAGCTGAGTATTGGGAAGCGGCATGCTGGGAAACCAAAGTTACGTTACCAGGACATGGTTAAAGTGAGCCTCACACGTTCTAACCTTGGTTGCACATCATGGGAATAGAAGACGGTTGATCGGCGTGCATGGCGAGATCTGATCATGAAGGCAGTTGTCGAGGTGCAGGAGAAAGCTCCCATGCATGCAGAGAAGAAGCGACAAGTGCGGAAGCGGCAAGCACCGATGGGTTGTTCTCCATCGACATCAAGCGCATGGTGCTGTAGAACATGCGGTCGCGAGTGCCTTAGTCAGGCAGGCTTAGTGAGCCATGAGCGAGGCCACTCGGGACCACTACCGAAGCGACGACAGGTCCTGCAGAGAACGTAGGCAGAACCGGCGCAGCGTTTGTAGGTACGCTGCATTCGATTTACTAACCGCGTGCTTGCATGCTAAGTCCCTTTATTTCAGGTGGTGGGTTTTCAATTTTGCCTAAATGCTTTCTTTCTCATATAAATGTCTACCTGTACTCTATTCCATTAACTTGCACACCTCGCTTAAGCCAATTGTATTCGATTTCCATAACATTTTTGTGTTCGTGGCATTTCCGTAAAGTATACTTTCTGACCTCGTGAACTTATCTAGGATTCGTTTGTAAAAAACTTATTTCATATGCTCATTAACTTAAGGTTATGTCACCGTTTCCTTACGCATTAATCGAGTTTTTCTCTTTTGCTTTTCTTTTCTTTCTCTCTCTCAAGTGTTTGGCTGTTGTTTGATATCCCCGGTGTGGCTGCGCTTGATGTGCATGTTGAGAAGGTGCCTACCTGTCTATTACCCACTACCTCGTCCATACTGGCTCCAGGAGACAGTTGGTCGTTGCTGAAGGGGACGGGGTGCACGGTCCTTGTGGCCGTGTTAGGCTCAAAGAGTGGTTCCATGCACTCAGTGTGGAGCGGACTACGGTCCAGCCACCGCCTTGTGTGCGCTTGATTCCCAAATACAGTGTGCTTGTGTTTGCCTGTGAAGGAGTGTGGGCCGGCTCCGTTGATGAAACGTGGTCCCATCCGCATGCCTCCCGGTCTTATTCCTTCGGGTTTACACTGGATATGGGGTGTGTGGTTGGAGCTGTGGGTGGTGCAGCGCAAGCCATCCATGGTCCCTCTGTAGGCGCAGGCGTCCTGTGGCTTGCCACAGTGACAGGCAAATCCGAAACCGGATGCCGCCAACCACATATATATATATATATATACATATATATATATATATATATATATATATATATATTCTGCCCGGACAGAGAAGCACTTCGTGCTGGTTAGAAATGGTTATCAGGGTACTGTGAGTATTGACCGCTTGAAGTCGGCTTACATCGAGACGCGACCACTACCGAAACCCACGGACATTCCTGTCACCGATCAGCCCACCTTCCTAAGTACGCCTCCTACGCAGCCTCCGTTGCACCCCAAGCATCTCACGAGACAAACTCGAACTCGCACCACTGAACACGCTTCGGACGTACAGTTCTTCTCCATTCCAGACGACGATAAATGACACACAAACATCGAGCATTCGTCTCAGTGACTCACGCACTATAGAGGAGTCCAGTAGCTCCGATGGCTCACCAGGCTCCGATGGCTCGGCCACGTGTTACGCATGCCAGCCCACCGACTCCCGCGACGTGCGTTGTTTGCGCGCCGGGGGTGTGGATGGAAGAAGAGGAGGGGTGGCCAAGCGATGACTTGGTCCAGAGGAATGAAGGCCCTCACTTCTGAGCTGGCCTCGGTTGGAGCGTCTCGGCTCCCTGGTTGGGGTCCGAAAGACGATGAACACGTTTGGTTGGACACACTTGCTGATATGGCTAGGAGCCGACCTCAGTGGCGTTCGTGCTGTGAGTTTCTTTGTCCCACCCCATCCCTCTTAGCCTCCCCCTCCAACCACGATCTCATTATTTAACCTTATATAATTTTGCATAGTAATTTTTTTGATGCATAGTAGCCGGCTGGTAGCTTACCGGAACGATGCCCATCCGTTACCGGTAGCTCAGCCGGCTTGCCCCAGTTGAATTCTTTTTTCTCTCCTTTTTTCTGTGTATTGCGGCACAGTAGCTGAGGTGTTCCCCACCTCTAGCTAACGTGTATGATGATGATGAGGATGATGATGGAGTACTGTAGCGAGTGTACATTGCTCTCTTCCCAATTGTACCTTCCTATTCTCATTTCCATTATATATTGTACAGTTCTGTTTTAACTGGCCAACAACCGATAAGCATGTTTTCGGGTTTCGGCTACGCATGTTGTGTTGCTGATCGTTGGTTTGCTCGCCTCGTCTATCGATCATCGGATCTACCGCGCCGAATTATTGTGCCGACTAAGTTTCGTCTTCCGACCGGATGGTGCGACTAACTGACGGCCTACCGAAGATCATGCTTTACCGGTCAGGTCCAGCATTCTTATCTCATAGACTGGAAGTTCTTTTATGTAATTAAGCCCTTTTAGTTTGGCCTTTCCACTACAGCGTGACCAACAAACTTTGCGGTCACTCTTCAGGCTAGCATGGAAGTTTACCCTGACGGCTTTGCGGAACTTGCATACTCGATTCCAGCCGGAATTTGCCGAAGAGTATCGAGAAGTTCCAGATATGATGCAAATTTGCACTGTCCTGGCTTGCAATTGGATTTATCACATGAAAGCATATCTGATGCCAATAATATTTGAACACGGGACCAGTGTTCATAGCTGTGGAGGGATTGCTTACTCAGTCCAAATACCAGCGTAATTTGATACACGCTCAGAACATACGGCTTTGTCAGTTGGTTAGTGTCTATGAGCCCACAGTATCAACGCGGTTACCGACAAAAGCCGCTCGGATAAGTGCACAGAAGTCTACAATCGTGCTGCAAATCGAGCGGCAGTCTCAGACACAACTCCCCCAAAGGCGATTGAGAGTAACGTGATTTATTGCGTTGTGCAGGATGAGTACTGTCAGGTTACTCAGGTCTACACAGGATGACTGGGTTTTTTAAACAAAGCCCGTGCTTCATAAAGATTTGGCTGCGTATGGTAGTGAGCTACAGGGAGTAAAGCAAAATGGTGTCAACAGTACGCCGACACACCGTACCGACAGTTTGCTGCCACGCGACGTTCAACAGCCAGGGGAAGTTCGATTTAAGGAATAAGGAGCCACTCGTATTCTAATCCTCGGCCTGAAAAAATAGGACACGGAGTCCGTACAGTTGATAACCGTTGAACAAGCTGATACGAACGGCTCTGAAGGTGCAAACGCACCAAGCAGTACAGTTTAGTGAATCGCTAAGGCGCGCAAATCATCGCAACATATTAAGGGCCAGGCTCATGGTAGCGGCAGTACTACCAAAACCAAATAAGTAGTCTGGCATACCGAGCCTATGTTGCACGTTAGCTGCATTTCTGTATCATCAAGTCATCCTTAGAGTAAAAAGGATACCGTAAACAAAGCGACGAACATGCGTGAGAAACATGTGTCCAAACACAGAAGAGACACAACCAAAAGATCAGCTGTTTGTAGGTTGAAAATCCAACGAAAATCGTCATGGTTGATAATGTGATGTGGTTGTTACGAATAACCAATGCTCTAAAAGTACCATCTAGCAGGAAATGACGACACAGTAAAAGTACCAGCATGGTAGCCTTATAGGTACGGCCTTCCATACGGACGATGATAACAGCGTATTAGGGTGGGACGCACATTTGTAAAGTGTAAAGTTGGACTAGAGGTCAAAATGCAGTTGCCAAAAGTACATGTATACAATCCATAGCATCTGGCCATCTGGTGCGGATCGAGTGCTCAAAAATTGATAGCAACAGCGTCGAATACGGATAGGAGGGCATCCATTTTATGTAAATGTTGGGAACGGACTGCATACTAAGAAGTTGGCAAAACATATTGTCATAATTCAAGGTGGTAAATGCTACGAATCTCAGAAAAAAGGTTTAGGTAGAAGAAGTTGGCCAGATTCATCAATATGAGTAGCCTTTATAGAAGCACATGTAATGTTGGCACATTGCATGCGAGTTCAAAATTATAGTAACTTCATCGGTATACACAGAACTGTGAAATGTGAACGCAGTATCTATGCTTACGAAAACGTCGACAGTCTGCAGCAAGTTTGATGAGAAGGTGGCCCGCAACAAAATCGTTCCACATCCAGTAAACCGGTGGAGGATGATTGAACATCCGGACACACGAAGTATGGTTTGGGTAGATTGGATGAATTGGGAGATTTGCAGATCCCATATTTTTCTGAGGACGAAGATAAGCAACATATTTGTCACATTTTCGTTACCCAATGAATCAACACCGGTGACCTGAGCTTTAAGATATTCTGGTATCCACACAAAATCGAGCGACTGATGGTTGTACAAATCTTGCTTCTGGATGCTTGTTCTTCACAGAGAAGCAAATCAAACGATTACTCAAACAAATCGTAAAACAGACAAACCCCCAAAACGCTTCAAAACTTCGCTTGGGAGTGTAAATCCCTCACTCATTCTTTGGGACTGCATAATATTCATTTGTTAGTCCATGAGATACTTCAGAATATTTCAGAAAATAGCAGCGGGGAGACATACATTCTTAAAAGTGGTTTACTATATGCCCGGGCAACGATTCCAACAGCGTCCGTGTTCAGGGTGTGAAGTAGGTCGCAACAGACCGGAGGCAGCTGGAACAAAAAACAGATACCATGCATGTGGTTGGATGAAATAATCGCACACGCCTAGTGAGAGGAAGAGATAGATGGAAGGTGTGGCTTGCTACCACCCTGAGTTGTATGCCGTTGACATCGCTGTCCAAAGAGGATCAAGCGTGAGGTGCATGTGTCCACCTCAGCCATCCAACATGAGGAGGACAAGTAGAAGTCAAGTTCAAGTTCGGGTGGGACCGGAGCGATAGGAGAATCCCGTGTGTTCCATCCTGAGTGGATCGTTGAGTCAGGAATTGAGGAAGTGCTTAGTTCTTGATGGATCTAAAACGGAAGACCCGTATGGCACCCTGGCCAACCAGTTAATGCCCACGTTTCCTGTCCTAGCAGTCACTGCTGTGGCAGTAACGGGAAGTAACAAAAGGGTAGAAAGAGAAATCGAAGGTACAGAACAAGGAAGTGCACTTGAAATAAGAAAATAATACCAATGCATGAAGAAAAGTAGAGAAAGAAACATCGAAGTATGAAGATGCAAGTTACTCAGGAAAAGGTTTCGTGTTGCCACCTAAGGGCGTAAAGTTGCCGCTCAAATCCCTCAACTCTAGATTCCCTGATAACACTTTGCGGAAGAATGTTTTAGCGCTCGATGACTCGGCGTGACAGTCGTGAGTTATATTCCTTGAGTGAATCGTTTAGCTGGGAATCGATGAGGTGCCCTGAGGCCTTGGTGGAGCTGAAACGAAACGCAGGAATCACGCACTGCTCAGTCAATTACTATCCATATATCCCGCACTAGCAGTACCTGCTGTGTCGGTTGAGTTAAATAAACGAGAGATAAGTCAAATGCAAATGTGGGCGGGAACAAAAGAGCCCCATGGTCGTTCCATGTTGGATGCGTCGTTAATTCACGATCATCAATACACGTTAGCTGAGGGTGAGAGACAGGACAGGATAGGACAGGATCCAGGGACGAAACAAGCTTCCGCTTAACGAGCGTCCGGTTTCGTGTGCTAATAAGCGAAAATGAGCCCCCAGCCATGCGACTCAATAGAATATTCTGGATTCTATAATGGTGAAAAAACAAGCAAGTGCAAGACGAAAAATACACTATCATGAAGTAATGAGATTAAGGGCAGTCACTGAAGCTCAATGAAATTCGGAAAACAGGGCCAGCCAATGTTTGTCTAGGCTACGTTTAAATTCCTCCAGTTTCGCATGCTAATCGAGCAGAAGGAAATTTATTCCAAACAGGCACAACTCGATTTGCAAAGAACCTGGCTCTTAACTCCAGCCTAGATCTAGACCGGAGCGACCGTCTAACGAGAAGCCATAAAAGTGTTGTCCGTGAAT